CGTGCACCTGCAGCTGCAGCAGTCATGCAGGAGCCTCCTCCACATCTCCCACGTGGACACAGGGTCCCAAGGCTTTGGGCCATTCTCCACTGCTTTCTCAGGCCACAGGCAGGGAGCTGGAATTTGGTACTTTCCAAATTTAGTATGTTAAGTGTCACTGAGGCCTTTATTTCAAAATGTTAGTTTATGTTCCCTTTTGCCTTGGGATTTGGTCTGAGTCTTTCCAGGAAACATAAACTTGTTCCACTGGTCGGTAAGGAGGTCTCACTAAGCAGTGTGCTAGTCCTTGGGGCTATTCTCTGGAAACCTGGAGCTGTAGCTTAGGAAACTGGTAAGGAAACATCTGAGACCTTTCATCCTTGCCACCTTTGCATCCCCTTGCCAGCAGCCTGGCCACCTGCTCTTCCGAACAGTGGGTGGGTTCCAGAGCTTTAAGATTCTGGCCTCAAGAGTTCCCACAGAGTGGAGTCAGCAACCCCCAGTGCTGGGAGCTGATGGGGAAGCAGGCTCCGGCTTCTGTTTAACCCTCTCTAGCTTCATGATTTTCCCTCTTTTTGTGCCTTCGTTTGTTTACCTCCTGATCCATACTTTTCAATCAGGCTGTGCAGAATTTATGCTTTCCCAAAAATAGCAACCTACTTTTGTGAAGATTTTTGTGCACAAAAGCTTTTCTGCGCAACTCACAGCTTTCATTGTTGTGTGGTGGAGTAGATGAAGATTGTTAACGTTGAGGCCTGAGTATACAATCATGTCATTGGAAACTATTACAGGGTCAACGCCGTCGGAGTCATTCCTGCAGAAAGACTTGTGGATGGATGTGAAAAGATTGGTGAAGCTTTGTGCCTAATCTCAAGGCATCTCCTGGCCGCCCTGAAACCACCTTGCTTGATTCCTGCAGGGTTCTTTCTACCCCAGGATGCATGGCCAGGGTGTCACCGCAGGCAGCACCCAGACTGGATATCCTTCTAGAATCTTCCTGACCTGTGTCCTTCACAGCTCTGCAAATCCACGGTTGGTCACTTGGCGTTGGTGGCTTCCACTACTACTTGTCTTTTCTTGGCCAGATGCAAAGCTTCCTGAGGGTCTGAATCCCAAGAATGAATGTTCTTGGGATTTTGTAAGCAAATGCTTTGATGGTGGAGACACTGTCAACTCCAGATCTTATTCCAGTATCTGCTATATGGTGCTGCCTCCTAGACACTTATCTTTGTTAGATTTATGGAATTTATGAAACTGGTCCATATGGTGGGAGTATAGATTATAATTTAGTTGAAAACTTTATGCTAAGTTTACAGGTGGGGCATGTTTGGATTTTTTGTTTTTTGGGTTCTTAAATTTTTTTTTTTTTCGTTTAAAGAAAATCTGCAGAGGGTTCTGACTTTGGCATACCAGGTAAAGCACCCTTTGCCACCTCCTGCCCCGCAATGCCAGTATCCTATGTGCTGTTTCCACTTGCTAATGAATCACCAAAGTGCCTGGCCCCTGCACCTGCTTGGGAGACCTGGAAGAAGTTCCTGGTCCAGCCCTAGCTGTTGTGGCCATCTGCAGAGTGAACCAGCAGGTGGACATTCTTCTCTCTGTGTCTCCCTCCCTCTCTCTTTTAAACTGAATACACATAGCTTAAATTTTATTTTAAATCTCTATTTAAAATAAATACACAAATCTTTAAAAACACTTGCAGAAATGAAGGGAAACTTTGACAAAATCAGTGATTTTTTTTAATAAAATTTTATTTTGACATTCTTTACATAGTTAATTAGGGTAAGAAGGTTCAAGGGCTACAGGAAAGTGGATAATACTAGTATGTTTTCCATATTGTTACCTTCATGTTTAAAGCGGGGTATTAAGGGAGAAGGCCCACCCAGTTTCCCACCCTCCCCAGGTCCCGGATGTAAGGCATGCTCTGAGGTTCTTGCTCAAGTGGTTTTGATATTGCAACAGTTACGAATTGCTGTCAGTCTTGCCACTCCAAGCACTATGAGGGCTTTGAAAAATCCACTGATTGACATAGTCCATCATAGCTTAGATGGTTGGTTGACCTGTTCTGTCTTCTCTCTTTTCTTCGTTAGGGTTCTGAGTCCAGCATTTAGATTAGGAAGATCTCCAAAGAAACTTCTTGTATGTGCTAACAAGTACAGGGCCTGGCACTGTCCATCGCTCCAATCAACTGGTGGTTGCAATTGCTGGGTTGGTTCTGTTTTCACTCCCGACTTCCACTGGAACCAATGGGTGTTGCAGTCCAGCCGGTTCTGCCCAGCACATACTTGGCCCTCACATAAACCAGTGGGAGCTGCAGCCTAGTTGGAGCGACCCACAATAACCCCCACCAGGCCCACCCCCTACCCTGGTTTGCCAGTAAGTGTAGCAGTAATCCAGTCTGTCCCACACCCCATTCCACCCCAGCTGCTATCTTAGTTTTATGTCCTCCTGTGGAAGTGGTAACCCAACAGGGATGAGCCCACTATTTCCCTCCCAGGCCTCTCCCACTCCCAGATTCTAGCTGATGCTGCGTCTAAGCCCAAACCACCCTCGCCCACTTTAATTTTGTTTGCACCAGTAGGAATAATCCACCCAGCCCGGCTTTTCCCTGATCTAGTCCACATGAGGCGCACAGGTGTGGTAGCTCTGCCTAGTCTGGTCTGCCCCCATCCCAGCCCATGCTCTCCTGCGGAAGTAGCTGTCCTGCAAAGGAACCCTCCCTTATTCCCCTGCTGGCTCTGCCCACTTCCTTTCTTGTTCTCAGGCTGGTTGGGCACTGCGGTCCCTTCCGGTATAGGCAACCTCACCTCGGCATTCCATAATGTGCACTAGTCTTTGTTGTGACCGACCCTGGGTCGACCCACACTGGTGCCTGGATTTGCCAGTGGATGACGTGGACAGATTCAGCCTGGTCTTGCCCCCACGTCTGCCAATTGTATGCCAGTGGGTAGCTTTCCATGGCCTTTTCTGGGCTGTTTCCTATCATGTTTCTTGCGTTTACCTGCCGGGTCTGTGTCCTGCCAGAGGAGTTGCCCATGAATTTACCATTGCATTGCAGAGGGGCCTTCACTAATTTGCTTTGTGGCAGAATTCTTTTGTGGTCTTTATTATCGTAGGATTTAATTTACTTTTGGACATTTAGAATTGGTACCCAGAATGGAGTTTTCTAAAATTGTTATTTACTTCTGAAATTATTCTATTTGACTATTGGTCTTACTCTACAGAACATTTCTCCACTTTCAAGTTCTTTTGTCTGTGTTGCTTTCTGCAGCAGCTTGGAGTGGGGATGAACTGGCTTAATACTGATGTGCGTATTGTGCAAGTTAGACACACCGGAAGGCAAGCTTGGGGAGATGATGCGACTTTCTCAAGGTCAAAGAATTGAACCAGCAGTGCTTCTACCCTGTGTCCTTCCACTGTCGAGAGTCTTGGTGCTTAAAAGAAATAAAAGTATTAATCAAAACTCATTAGTGCTTTGCCAGCATTTTCATAGATAATTCAGTAATATAATGCCCGTTTGACAATTCATCTTTGTAATTTGGGAGTTTCGCTTCATTATCAATGATGAATTAGTAACTGTCCTTTTTGTGAAAAGAGTTCTGAAAAAAACTTAAACCAGACTGCTCTTTTAAAGGAAAGAACACGTTGTAAATGAAGTAGGTAGGAAGGTGTGAAATAACCCCAAGTTAGAACAGCCATGATGACGAGTGGCGTTTAATAGCCTTAGACCCACAGCTGAATTAAAACTCTGCATATAGACCAGTGCGGTTGATTACTCAAACTGCAATTTAGAAAATACAGAAGCAGCACACTTAGACTATTGTCTTCACGTCAGAAATGCACCTTCGTGCTTGAAAATGATAAAAAATTACAATTGATCCTTACAACTGTTCTGTTCATCTTTATTGATCAAGTGCAAGAAAGATAAATCGTAGTCCAAATAAGATTATAGTAAATGTTAGCATCGGAGGGGACTATGGGTTGATAGAAAGCCATTCATCATCTCAGATGGTGCCCTGTCCCTGGCTTCAGCCACCCTGTCTGCTGGCTAATCACATAGCTATTGATTTTATCTACATCCAAGAAACCTGGATGCGACTGTCACTGGGCAGCCGGACTGTTAAGGCAGAGGGGTCGCTGCTGTGAAGAGGATTTCATTTTCATTTTCTCACCGGCCAACGATGATGCATTAAAAGAAGAAACTAGCCAGGCCATGTGTGCGAGCCTGAGTGACCAGGGAGTCCGGCACACAGCAGCCCGTGTTGTGCTGGGTTCTTTTGTACCACCTTGTATTCTGCAGGATGTTTCATTGAGTCTCAGGGCACATAGGGACATTTCAGCCACCCCTTGCACGAAGACTGTCTCCAAGTTGTTTGTCAGAGTGGATCATTTTTAGTTTTGCTGCCCCAGAAAAGGCATTGCCGTTGCAACTTGGCTTAGCTTGTTTAGGTGTTCACTTGTGGACAGTGGAGACATTTGTTTTCTATGCAAATTATCTAAATCTACCACCTTTTCCTATTAAATAATTTGTTACACATGTTGATGCTCCTGTTGTCAGGTGGAGTTGTTAGAATAAATTCTGTTCCATAAAGAATCCCTCCCAGGACAAATGCGTTATGTAAAAGAAATGATCCTTTGATATCCTCTTTGGAACACTGATGAAATAATAGGCAAACATGAATTGTGTGAATTTCATTGTTTGATCTCAAGCATTCTTTGATCTTGCTGTAGTGCATTCCAAGTAAGGTAGGTCTAAATAATCTTTTTTTTAATGTTAACAATTTTCTCAGAAGGATCAAATAATGATGAATTATAGCTGTGAAAGTTTACTCTGTAATTACAAGCTGTTTGCCAAGAACTGTACTGGCATGTAAGTGTGTATTTCTGTAACTCCGTGCCACTTAGCCAAGAGATCCTTTAATTCCTTGAAAGCTCAAGATTTGATGCGCTGTTTGAAAGTGGAAGTCGGCCACATGTTCCATGCTCTTGTAGAGTAAAACCCTGTTCCTGTTCGTCCACAGAGCGCAGAGTTCTACAAGGTCACCACTGAGCAGTATCAGAAAGCTGCTGAAGAGGTGGAAGCCAAGTTCAAGTAAGTGTCACAGTTACGGTACTTCACAGGACGAACACCCGGAGACAGTTCGCTGTATCACACTGTAGAATAGTCGGGAAAGCCTCTGAGTGGTCGAGATGTTGGCCATGTTATTTGCTCTTGCTGAACAGAAAGAGATTTGATACAAGGTTGTTGCCATTTAGTTTATTTTCTTAATTGAAGAAAAATGGAAGGTAATAGTAATAGAATTTTAAATTGGAATGACATAAAAGATAGGATGTCCTTGATTGTGAAAGTGACGTTAAATTGTTATCTCTTTTAATAGAATTATATGGTAAAACCATGGATGTGTCCAAGCTGGGATATCTGGCTTCTCATGCTTAAAATGTTTTCATTTTCTCACACATTTTGTGAGAGGATGAATCGTAGAGTTTTTTTCTTGACCTTGAGTATGAAGGTAATGTTAAATTGCTAACTCTATTAGTGGAAACCTATAGAAACTATTCACTTTTGTTCAGTAAAATAACAAGCATGTCCAAATTGGGTGTCCATCTTTATGTGTTTAAACTGTTTTCATTTCTTCACATCCACCTTGAGAGTATTTAAGTATTAGACTTTTTCTTGCCCTGGATTATGAAGGTGATGTTAAATTGCTGTCTCTATTAATCTCAGGATGTTTAAATGAATGTTTTGTAATGGATGGATTAGTGTCCGTGACCCTCAGCCTTTCATATTCCTTTGCCAGTTCTCACCTTAGGTAAGAAGGCATCATTCGGAACTTTCTTGGGCATGTTACTAATTCTATTGTGTCACCCCTGTAAACAACACATGTGCAAATTAGACAAGCAAAAAAAGAAAGGTGTTGTGACAAGTGTGATTGAAAGGTTACCTTGGCTTCTGGCTTTCTTCCTTATCCTTGTTTATAAACATTTGAAAGAGGAACTAAACACTGAGGTGGCATTGCAGTGTTTTTTTTAATACTAGTTCAGTGTTGATTAAAATGTTCTTAAATGATGTGTTTTGAGGTTTAAACAGAAGAGAACTTTAGTCTTGCTAAGTTTTCTCTTACAGGTGGCAAAGCGTGAGTCTTAAAGGTTAATGTGAGATCTTAAAAATTGAGATGCAGAATTGGTACTGAAAGGTACTCTACATATATATTTCTCAAGCTTTTCCCATGGTGATAAAATAATATTATTTTAACTTTTTAAAAAATGTAAATACTATGAGAAATTTGACTTGACACCCTTAATATTTCATTTAAAAGTAACTATAAAATTGAAGATAAACCAGAAATCTGTTTTTATTAGAATGACCCACAAAGTCTTCATAACTAAGATATTTTGGTTGAGACTTGAAGAGCATTGAGTAGATGGAAGGACACACTTTTCCAGAGGAGGGGGAAAAGGTAAATAATGTTCTGTGGTTGATGAGAAATTTTTTATACATTTATTTTTGTTGAAAAGGCAGATTTATAGAGCGAAGGAGAGACAGAGAGGAAGATCTTCCATCCACTGTTTCACTCCCCAGGTTGCTTCAATGTGAGGGGACTGGGAGGGTGTGAGGGGTCTGGGAGGGTGTGAGGGATCCTGAAGGATGTGAGCGAACTGGGAGGGTGTGAGGGCCTGGAGGATGTGAGAGGTCCTGAAGGATGTCAGGGGACTGGGAGGCACCACATGGGAGATCTCTGTAAATGAAAGAGACAAGAGGTTGGAGCAAAAGTCACTGAAATACGGGCTGTGAGTTAGTACCTGCTTGTTATGCCAGCTTCCCAGGGATGCAAGGTACCGCAGAGTCAATGTCCTTGCTGGCACTTGGGGGGATTGGAATGTGACGTTGAAGCCTGGTAGGGTTGAGGTTTCCCTGTCCATGGCTTCCAGGTGAGCACATCCTCCTTGCATCTCCACGCCATCTTCCTCCTCCGTGTCTTACTCTGTCTCATTGGACCGGAGCCCACCCCAGCACCTTCTCTGCAGGCACCCACGTTTTCAGGTCTGGTGCTCCAACGCAGGCGTTTGAGGGAAGGGTGCACTGTTTAGTCCATGACACTTGAACAGAAGAGGGAGAAGGGAATCTAATCTGCGAGGTCAGCATATTGAGTGTGGATTTCAGCTGGTTCGATTTTGGACGAGATAAGCCTCTCTGTTGATGTTCTGCCCATCTGCCTGCCAGTCAGTTGAGGCGATGTCACGACTGCACACTTTCTTCAGCACGGGCTGGACCATGGGCTCGACTTCACGTCAGCTAATCAATATGGAATAGTCTAAGTGGCATTATTTTCATAAGGGTTCAAGAATTTGAAAAGATGTGTATGCAAAGTGACATATATCTGAAAATACTTGGGGATTGCTTTCAAGCATTGCAAGTGTAATTTGGCACCTTGGTTTCAGTTTCTTTGAAAGTTGCAGCTCTTTCAAAGTCTATGAAATTGCATAAATGAGTTTGCCTTTATGTGCCAGAGTTTAGAAGTTTTTGCTTTTATCCTTGAACAAAGTCATTGAACCTGAACTTGAAGGTTTAGGCTCATGGGAGAAGCTTGGTTGTTATTCTAAAGTATCCCCCCCCTCCCCCCGAAAAAAAAGTTACCCTGTAGATATACTTAGATGATTTGACATATTTGAGGAGTGCTATGCAAAATTTATTCAGATAAAATGGGTTGTATATGTCTTAGTAAGTACTTAATTTTTTTTTCTGTGTTACCCTTTAAACTGCCCTTTTGGTAGGGTGGGCTTTGACTGGCAGATCTTGCTTGTTTTCTGGATATGTGTCTTAAACAGCTATCCTACAAGTAAATTCCTGAAGCGCAGAGACCAGCGGTATCAGCAGGTGTTCCTCATGTTCTCTGTAATTACACATGTGACTCATGGACAATTTTAAGCAACAGAATTTAAAGATCCTGCTTAATTGGCTGTAAAAACTATTAAATAAGATTTTGACTGGCGAATTTATAATTCTGTTAGATGCATAAGGCAGTGTGCCTGAATGTCAATGTGACTTCAATTTGGAAGTATTAGATTAATAGAACTAATTGTGCCACAAGTGCAAAGTTTACTCTGATTAATAGTCTTAAAACTCTTTTGAAGTTTAGTCAGGTAAATTTATGTTACTTCCCTTTCTGCTGAAAGTTTTAATGAAGAGTTATTTCAAAAGTGTGAGCCAGGAAGTTTTGCCCTGTCTTTAAGAGGGTCTCTGAAGTTGAGCTTCAGCAGTTTCTTGTTGGCACCAAGCTGTCTCACCGAGTCACTTCCCTTATCGGTAGGACTAAGAACCATGTGGCCTTGTTTGTGCATCCGTATCTGTAGCTGACAGATGCTCTGCACATCTTCTCTAACACTTATTGATGTCTACTTATAACCTGCTTTAGTTCTGTGTGAATGGATCTAATATGCCAAATGTACATGATAAATGCTTTATCTCTGATTCTCATTGATCAATTTTGAAATGATCAAATGATTTATCTCAGTGAGACACTAATTCACATTGATCAAATTCTAAATGACCAGGTTGACTTGGTTTCTGCTCAACACAAATTGTATTAAACCATGACTTGAACATGGTGCCTTTTTGTATGCAGGAGTTAGGTTACCAGCAGTTCCATTGTAAGTAGAGTTATTGTATTAAGAAAACATCTCCTTCCTAATGAAAAGTTTACACAAGGAGAAAAGAATGCTGAATTATAGGAAGAACTGGGCTTGGGGCAAGGATCTGGGCTTTTACTAATTAAATTCTGCCTTTGTACTGGGCCTTTCTCTTAGCAGGAAGCGCAGCAGCTGCTGTGTGACATTTTATTCCCTGTGGTCCTCGGAGCCAAGTGATGTCTTGGTTATTCAGGAAGGGACTCGGGAATTGAAGAGGCATACTGTATCTGCACCCAGTGCCTGAGGACCTTGTTTCACAGCTCCCTTTTTAGAAATTCATGGTTATTCTTCAAGCATCAAGTCACCTAGGTCAGACTCCATGGTATCCCGTGTATGAGTTCTCCATTTTGTGTATGTGTTCTGGAATTGAGGGAAGGATGTTGGTGTTGTGGAGTGTACTGTGTGCCAGGCCAACGGCGAGGGCTCCTCTGCCTGAAATGCTGACTTGATTGTTCCAGGCACCTGTTCTTCAGGCTGGTCGTTTTATCTTTGACTTGTACCTTCCATCTGCAAAATATAAGATATATCCATCTTCAAAATATAACTGCCACGTTCTTTAGGGCACGCAAGCTGTAAAGGTCTAAAAGTTAAGAAATTAACATGGCTATTCGTCCTTATTTTAAGAGTTAGTCTTAAGTTGTTGCTTCCTTCAGCTCCAGGACACATAGCAGTTAAGGCATGTTAGAGATGGTGTCATGGTTCTGCTGGATCTCATCAGTGGCTTGTTCAACCCCAGCCAGCAAGCTTTGCGTAACAAACCAAGGGACCTGGGGCCTGCCTGGAAACCCACTACTGCTGCCTATACATTTAGAATTATGCTTGTAAAGAAACCTTAGATGGTTGATGCTACCCCATTCCACCTGTCAGAGGCTGGAGCCATTTTAATTAGTCCCATCCAGATTTCCAGGTTTCTTTGATTCTTTGGGCTCAAGCTTTGTACTTAGTCTGCTTACCATTTTCTACAGTATTGAAAGTGAAGTCTGAGAATCAGGGATAGCATTTTGGAGTTCTCTAGAATGCTGAAACAAGGGCAGAAACAGGCCTGTAAACCAGTACAGTGCTCTGGGTTACTTGGAAACAGCAACACAAACTGCAGCCATCTTGTGGACCTGTGCAGGTGGCGACAAGATTGAGGGTCACCGTGGCAACCTTGTCACCGATTCAGCGTCCTGTCAGGGCTCCCTAGTGTTGAGCTAGCTGGAAAAGGTCCAGTCCCAGGAGCTGCACTCGATTGTAAATCCTTGGTCGGGGGCTCCTCTCTGCCCAGTGTGCTGGCTTGCAGTAATGCTGTCTGCCCAAATGTTACATGGAGAGCATCGAGTCCGTCCTGGATTCCGCCCTTAGGTTCATCATTCCTTCCGTGTGATAACAAATCCTGCTGTCTTCCCCTACAGGAACTTAGCA